TGTTTGTTTGTTTGTTTGTTTGTGTGTTGGTTCGTTTGTTCGTTCGTTCGTTCAATCAATGCAAAAAAAGGTCTGATGATGATCTACGCAGTGTTATCCGTTTTGTTGTTGTTGTTGTTATTGTTGTTGTTGTTGTTTTGTCTTTTTGCTGTCTGTCTACAACGATGATGGTGACATCAAGTGCCAGATCTGCGACTGTCTTCGGTAATTACGGTTCGCCGTTCATTTTTTTTCTCGTATGCTCTCCTAACAAGAGCAATAGCATCCTGATCTTTGACAGTCACCCATCTGTTTAGGCCCTCAAAGTAAGTTATAACCAGAGCTGGTTGTAACGGAGTACTGGTACTTACGTTACAATTTTCGGTACTTTTACTCTACTCCGGTACACTTTGAGAACCAGTACTTATACTGTACTCCGATATTTTTTATAAAAGTGCTTTTGAGTATTTGCAAAGTACATTTTGAGTATTTTTGAAGTTTAACGAAAGAATAAGTGCCGGCATTTCTGATCAGGATTTACGGAACAAACACCTGGGAAGGCACAGCCGATCAACCAAGAGTTAAAAGTTAAGATTAGAGAACTGCCCGTCGCGTCAAAGATCAGCCACTCTCGTGAATGTGATTACAAGCGTTGTAAAACTCCATGAAACGGTACAATGATCCCAAGACGGGATCACACCGAGGTGTGAACTGACCGATGGGTGTTTCCCGAGCACTGGAATTTTAGGCGGAGACTACTGTAGTAGAGAATTTTTGGTTACACTACACTTACTAGGCTCTAGAAAATTACATGTAGTCCTATTTTGGTTTGCCGTGGGCGCCGTGGACTACACAATGTGACCAAAATCTGTCTTACCACTATATGTATTATAATCAATTGAAACTCAAACTGAAACTGAGTTCTCAATGTATATCAATCTAACAATTTTTTTGGCTACCTAAATTTCCTTTTCCCTTTTTTTTGGTGGTTTGTGCTTAAGGCTACCTTGATTCCTTGAGGATTTGTCAATGAAGAATTCTATGCACTTCTTTTTTTGCTGGCCATTTTCATCAATTTTATATTTTCTTAAAGGGG